CCTCCTGGATTATGAGGAGTACATTGTTCTCATAATCCAGGATACTTGTCCATGTAAGTACTGATTTCTAGAAGACCTCTTGAACCCAGCAAAGTGAAGTGGTTTAAGAAGATCCAGCAGAAGTGATATTGCTCCAGGCATACTTCTCATCCAAATGCAGACCTCTTTCCCATTGGGACATACGACTAGCCGCACTGGAATCGGTTTTAGATGAATGTCAGCTATATCCTCATCAGCTTTCCAATTGAAATCGTCAAAGGCTTTCTCGTGTATCTTTAAGTTTTGATTTCGGTTCTTTACATTTCCTTTTTTATTTGAGAAATACTGTAGCCACATTCCTTCTTGTTGAAAAGCATTAAACTTGACAATGTGATCTCCTGTACTGCAGTAGAATAAGAAAAGGTCCTAATTGTATTCCTTTCCACTATTCCAATTCAAATAGTAATTTTTTTCCAGATAATGAGATCTCCAGCACACGTCATTGGGCAAACAACAAGGGTTCTGAAGTGATAAATTAAGTATTCAAAACGCCCCACCTTTGTAGTTTGAGATAAGGAGTAGTGCTGTTAAATGTTGCTTGACTGAAAAGAATTATATATTTAAAATATTTCATTTTCCAGGTTGTATTATTTGTTATGTGCAGGAAAATCTCACAAAAAGTAGTATTAAAAAGTATTAAGGATTCTTATGGAACCACCTTCCTACTAAATTAGTTTTCCATATGTAGTATTAAAGTAAACAGATTTTTGCAAGAACAGAAGGAAAACGTGCTACATTTTTAAATGAACAGATTGTTTCTTCAGATTAGTTCTTCTTTAGTCTTAGGCAAAACTACTGTAGGGATTGTTCCCTCTGAAAGTGAAGGTAAGCATTAGCTTGGCAAAAAGCAGCCCCGTTCTCTCAAAGACAATACAGGGACTTTGCACTACTTGGATTCAAGAGAAATGTTTACTGACAGACTGCAGACAAATACCTAAAAAGTAGAGATGGACCCTACCGTAGCATGGATCCAAAGCATAACCTTTCTCTCGGCAGCTGCCTGCAAGAAGATACTGTACTTATGGTGTGGTAGTGTCTGTCTCCACTGAGTACCCTCAAAGTATTTCTGGGACATGTCCCATTTACGTCAGAGTTTCTCTTCCTTTCCAGTATTCATTTTGTGGAAGTGATTCAGTAGTTAGGCCAGTGCCTAGGGGAAATTAGCAGGGGCAGAGAAAAATTCTGCCTTCCTCTCATCTGTTGACAGTGCTGCAGAATGAGATGCCAGCCAGTGGTGAGCATTAGGAGCAGATTTCGAGTAATGCCTAGGGACTTCATCACCATTAACTTTTTTTTCCTTTCCTGTAGCATTCTGTTGTTCCTGAAGTGAAATCATTGCTGATTAAGGCCCACAGAAGTGCTTAATATCTTTGAACTACCATCTGGTTGGGTTCTTTTCAGGATCACTTTTCATTATTCACATGAGAGAAAGGCCACGTGCACATACTAAATCCAGTACATAATCTCCAGGTTCCCTATGGCTATAGACTACCTAGAACAAGGCTTGTTTTTTTAATTGGCACTGAACTCAGATGCTGAATGGATACAACATACCCAGTAAAGGCTTTCCAAGACACAAGAAAGATGTAGCTGAGTGAGCAATTTTTGCACATTTTTTTCAGAAGTCATGCAAAGATTGTCTCCCTGCTTCAGATATGTACTCTGGACAGTCCAAGGGGGCTTAGATCAATGCAGATCATTCCCCTTTAGATTCCTCTCGTACACAGAATAACGGTCCTATACTTTGTTTTTACCCAAGAGTTTTGTTGTTTGTTGTTTTTTTTTTTTCCTCTGCAGGCCTCGGTGACATGGCAGTATCCAACACAATAGGGAGCAATGTCTTTGACATTCTGGTGGGCCTTGGCGTTCCATGGGGTTTGCAGACCATGGTGATTGATTTGGGATCAACTGTATGTATACTTGGAAAATCTTTAATTTGTTCTTTCTGTCTATTTAAAAAAAAAAATCCTAAAAAGAAAGCATGCAAATAAAACTAAAAAAAAAACAAAACAAAAAAACCCAACCTGCTGAGCATGTTATTAGTTGCTAAATAAGGTGTTCTTTGCCAAAGAACCAGGAGTTAAGGAGGCAGTTCTCTTTCCACAAGCTACAATTAATTGCCAGTTTGTCAACTGAAGTACATTATACTGTATAGCAGAAAAATAGTGACATGGATGTTTGCTCAGGGCTCTGTAATTTTCTTACTACACAGCTTCAAGTACACCTGTCTGTCTCCCTGTACCTTAGTATTTTTGTCTGTAAGATGAGAACAGCAGCATTTCTCTCTCTCTCTCTGCTGAGGATCTTTTGACATAAAATCCATTATAAATGCTGATTTATTTTTTTATGGAGATGGGTTTACTTATACATTTGTTCTGATTCCTTAATTGTCCTCTTCTTCATTATGATAAATCTGTCATGGATTTGCATAGTTTGCAATGTGTAAGTCGGTCACTATTCAAAACAGAGGTGGACCATAAATCAGTAAATTGATTTCTGATCTCCAAAGCACAGTTATATGCTGAGTATTTTAAAGGTCTCTTCTCTGCCTAATTCCCACAGGTTAAGATAAACAGCAAAGGATTGGTCTATTCAGTTGCACTTTTGCTAGGATCAGTGGCACTTACTGTAAGTATTTGAGTGTCTTCAAGTATTCCAGTTGCAAAATTCTAGGTATTTACATGTTATAGAAGGATAAAATGGAAATACTTACTATCCCCAAAGCATTGATTCTTGTAAAGTATCAGTCTTCTAGCAGTGCCATGAGTTGAAGAGCTACCATTGTCCTCAGTGAGGACTGAAATCTGACATTTGGTGTGAAATGCGTGTAGGACCCATTGATTTCAGTGGCAGTGTTGAAATTGTGGGATTCAATAATACTTCTGTGCTCTTGTGTCCAGCTGCATACCCCAGGCCCGTCTGTACTTTATACTGGGACAAGACCCAAGTATGCATCATCACCTTTTGCCTTTGTCTCTGATTTACAAAACCAGCCTGGACTAACCAAGTGCTGTAGCCAAAACCTTTAACGAAGACCAGCGTAGGAGGACTGTGAACCTCAGGACTTCAAATGGGCATGCTAAATGTCACTCAGCATAAGACACTTGCCCTTGTAACACGTGACTTGTTAAGGTGAAACAACAATTCTGTCTCAAAAGTCAATTTTGCTGGTACTTAAGGTCTGATCCTGCTGACTCCCAGGGAACCCTCTGTGGGAAGAATCAAATCCCAAAGGTATAAAAATATCCTCTTATACTAACATCTTTCACTGGTTGCCTGTGGAGTCTCTGTAGAGGAGGGAATCATCACTGGAGATTTCACACTGTTGCATGACTAGGTCTCACAAAACTCCACATCACCTGTGCATGACTTAAGTGATAGAATGACCAGGGCTGTTCACTCTGCCTCTAACTTCCTAATGCATCTGATTATATAAGCTGTGGGAACCTGTTCTTTTTCTTTCTGTCCCTGGTTCTGCCATACTGCACAGTGCCTGTGAAACAACAAAGATGTTCTGTAGACATTTGCATCTGATGTTGCTGCATGATTATTGGTAATCAGCACTTTGGAAAAAAATGGGAGGATTATGCAGATGTGTTACTATGCTAGCTGTTCATGCTTTTTCTAAAAGAGTCTTTTCATAGCAGAAGCCATATCACCTAAGTTTGAAGCATCTATTATTGTCTCATTCGTTCTGCTGGATACGCTGATTCACACAGACCCTCCCAGCAAAACTCAGTGGAGAGTTTTGAGCAAAACAAATAATAATTCAGAGGCACTCAACACCATTGAAAATAGATGCCTTCACAAGAACTTCATTGTTTTTCTACGTGTAACTTGTAACTCCCCTTAGTTCTAGAGCTGAGCAAAACATGAAAGCAAGCACCTCTCCTGAAGCTGGTGAAAAAATGAACATTAGGTGCTGGTATACTACTGGTCCGTAAAGGATCTTGTAGGGGAACGCTGGAGGGAGAGGCATTCATGTAGTTCAGTGCATTCCTTCAGTTCATACTGAATCAGTGAATGAGTGCTGCCTGATTAGAATGTGCCCCATGCACTGAAAATGCACTACAGACTGAAACCGAGAACCTAGGGGCCTGTTTCACAGTTACATGAAGAACTTGTGAAGGGGCCTTAAAGTGGGTTCATTTAATATTTTGTAAGAGAATCTTAGGACAACTGAGAGTCAGGACAGAGTTTGAGTTCTTAGTTTGGGCTGTTACATTCTTTTTCTTGATCAGAAAAACATATGTTGCTTTTTTCATCTATAAAATACTGAGAATATATTTTTATCTTCATTCAGATCTCTAATTCAAAGGACTCTCATTTTTAGCTTATAGTTGTTTCCAAAAGTCTTCTTTGGGGCTTAATTAACTAACACTTTGTTTGCTTGCAGGTGTTTGGAATCCATGTAAATAAGTGGAAACTTGACAGGAAATTAGGCATCTACGTGTTGTTTCTTTATGCTGTTTTCCTGTGTTTCTCTACATTGATAGAGTTTAATGTCTTCACCTTTGTCAACTTCCCTATGTGCCGAGAAGAACTTTAAACCCCAACAAGGAGAGAGACTGAAATTCTTCTGACTACATGTGCTGTAAATGACAGGAGGCATTTCACATTTCTACCTTCTTTCCATCAGTAATTTGAGTGTCGTTCCTGCTTCATCGGCTAACGGGCACTTTGACCTGTGTGGAAGGAAAGCATACCTTTCTTTTAACATGCTAGCTCAAGGCAACCAAAGCATTTTCCTCCTCTTTGGATATTGCTGCTCAATCATAAAGCTGTGTGGCTTTTACACAGAACTCTAAAATGACCCATTTCTGGGACAATCTGTTGTGGTTTTCATTCTCCTTTTGCAGACAATCAACCACCACCACCAAGGTTAGCAAGAGGATGGGAGAAAAATCTTTATAGTTCTTTTGGTTTTGACATTTACTTTTGATGGAAGAGTAAGAGGCAAGTCCAGAACTTTTCTTGGCTCAATCAAAATATCTCAACTACAGGACCAGAAAGTCCAAGGCACATACCATGGCATGTACTGTTGAGGACATCATTTCCCCCTTCAAGTGCTCTGCTTATAGAGGAACTGCACTGACAGTTTTTGATAGCAGTGTTGAATATTTATCCCTCTTTTCAATGAACATGAACAATGCAGCAGAGGAAGAAGAGGAAATGGTTCAATGTTGTATCACTTGTGATGATGCACACTAAAAGTCAAAGTATCTGCATACTGAAGAAGAGAATTACATGCAGAAATTCATACTTGAAAAATACGTTTTACCATTACTGAGGAATGCTGTATACATAAATATAAACATTTGTGGAATATTACACCACAAGAAAAACTTTGCATTGGCCCTTGTAAGCCCATTGGTGTAAATTCAGAATAAACTAAACACACAAAATATAACTGGGTGCTCAGTAACTGTCACTTATTGTTATCAGCTGAGAGTAGTATCTGAACATAATCCAGACTTTCTGACAACAAAACCCACCCTGATTATGATTTGATTTGATTTGATTGGTGGGAGGAAGAAACTTACCAGTCAAGAAGCTGGTGTATTCTTCTCCATTTTTTTTTTTTATTCCCAGAAGCTTAATGAAGATGAGTGTCTGATACTGAGCAGGGCAGATAAGAAACACCTAGACAAGAGCAAGTCTGTCAAGAGAATATGGTCCTTGATTTGATTGCATGCAAGTTTTGAAGCATATTATACTTCTTTTTAACCCCCATTAGAAGCCAAGTTTTGATATCCTTTCCACCAGCATAAATCTGATACAAGGGATTACTCTGGATGTAATTGATAGCAAGATCTGGCCCAGAGTATTAAAAATAATGGGTAACATTCCATATTGTAGCAGTCATGTGATTGCAAATCACTGAAAGAGCGTATTTTGAATTGCTCCTAAAGTTTAAAAATATTTTAAAGCTGTATGTGAATGATCACATAAAGTTTCTGAAGAAGCACAGTTAACTTTATACATAGATTTTTTAATTTTTTTAATGTTTATAGACCAAAATAAATCTTATCAACTAACAGTTGATGCATTTTTAAATATATTAATATTTTGCACATGAGACTATATATAAGAAATCCCATTATTGTGTCAATGAGAACATACTATAAAACCGTAACAAAAAAGCACTTATTCAGAAAGTTCCTTATTTTGACTTACATGATAAGTAATTATGTTTAGCCAGCTCACATGCAGAATACTGTTTACACCAGGCAATGTGTTTACAATTAAGGCTATTTTTAAAATTATTTTAGTACTAATGAAGGAGTATATTCTGCTGTTTAATTTTTTTAGTAATTGGATCCTTCCAATATAATCCGAAGGAAAAAAGACCAACGTATTTGTTATTTGCTTTACACTTCATTATAAATGTCAGTATTGGTATCCATTTAGGGTTTTTCACCTTAAGTAGTAACGTAGTTAAACTAGCCAGTCCTAAAGATGGCAACAAATACAGCATTATGAAATTGCTTTATTAAATAGGCAAGCGTGACAGTAAAAACATTTGATCTCAAGTATGCCGGTGACCCCATTTCCAGGCATTCAGGACATTTTTGCTGCAGTGTAAAGCTGAGGAGATGGAATTCATGTTCATCTTGATGAGTCTTCTGTTGCAGAAGGGCTGTGAAGATGTAGCATACTGCTGCACTGCTATAAGAGCATCCCTCTCTAGTCTTACTCTCTTCCCTACTATCTTTCAGGAGGATAGTTTGCTGCTGAAAATCTTGCAATGGCTTAGATGGGAGGCTGAAAGGAGCAGAGAGAGAGGCTGAGTAAATGGTTTTTTCCTGTCTTCTGCTGTTCAGTGGGCTTGAATAACTAGCTGTCTCCAAGCAAACATTTGGTCTTCTGTGCACAGTTCAAGCAGCTCAAATGTCTTTATGCTACAGAAGAGTAGTTCCAAAATCTAGTTTTGAATGCCTAGTGGTTAGCTGAGTTGACAGTGATGCAGGCATCAATGTTTACAGTGCCAGACCTAGGAAATTGTACTGTACCTTCATACTTCTGAGCCAGGCAACTTTAGAAGACTAGAGGCACCAATTTGTTCTGTAGCTGCTGATCCCCAGCCCATATATGCATGAAATTGTGTTTGCTAATGTCATGAATCCTTCAGACATCATTTAGAATTATTCTGCTGAAATTTAATTATCACCTGCTCCAGGAAACTAGAGTGCTCTGTGGTAGCAAGAGAAGAGTCTCAGAAGGTAATACTGACCTTAAATTGCATGGCCGGTCCTGTCATCTATGGCCCTCCGTAAAACATAGACCTACTTCAGGACAATTTATATTAAATTCTAATGCTGCATTTCATGAGGTGGTCTCATATGCATCTTCTGCTATGAGACAAGTATCATGCCATGCTTATCATTATAAATAACATTAGTAGGATTCTCCTCTGACACTACCACATGACCAGGGATGTACTGTTTGCCAAAGAATTATTATATGCTGTATCAGGGCCTTGATGACACATAACCAGATGAAGCAGTTTAAGAGAGTCCCTATGTAGTCATTATCCATATGCTAAAATAAATAAAGATGGCAGTTATAGACCAAGCCATGAAAATAAACTGAATGACCTGAGAAAGGTCTAATTGTCACACTGTTGTATGTCAGGTAAACCCACATCGGACTGTATCAGTAATTCAGGAGGCTATTGCTGACTAGTAGCGGACTAGTGCCTTTCACATGTATACAAAAAAAAATTTGCTCATGTGGTTGGGAAACCACTACAAATTTTACCATTTTCCAATCAAGAAAAGGAATGATTTGTACTTGGCTCTCTGTGGTTAGTATAATTCTATATTGCATCTGTTCATACTGTGTCTGTAAAATTTTGTAGCCATTTTGTTGTACTCACCATTGCAAAAGTTAGCTGGCTGAGTTTGGAATGTATGTCACAATGTTGTGTAAGTTAATGTTCGGCTCAAGAGCAAAAAGAAAGCTGGTGGGTGTGAGAGGGAAAGCTGTTACTGTGATCTGAAAATTGTCAGCATACTAACACTGAAAACTAGTACAACTCAGAAAAAGATACCCCATATCCAGCAAAGCTTAACTGAAGTAGGATTGATTCCATGTTTAAAGCTAAGCATATATCCAAGTGCCTTGCTGGATTGTTTCCTAAAATGGCAGTGGAGCATGGTTTCTGGGTTTTTTATCATGTTCAGATCTTTTAATGTTTTATTGGTTTTGTAGTTTAAAGATGTTATTTCTTACTCTAATTAAAAGGTTTGGCCAGAATCTGTGGACTTCTGCTTTGCTGATGCCACTTTCGATTTCCAGTCTTGTAAATAAGAGAACTGGTTCCTTGTCTCAGACTTCAAAACTGTGCATCTTCCCTGGTGTACAAGCAGGATCAAAACTGAGTTACAGCTGGCCAAGGAGAGCTTTTAGCAACACTTTTCTGCTGCAGTTCCACCAGAGTGGCACAAACCCTGTAGACCCACAAAGTGCAATCCCGTCTGTAGTGAGCAAGTGAGGGTGTTTCCATTGAGTTCAGCAGTGTCTGATTCCCTTTATATACCTTAACAATTGTGCTGCGTTACGAAGCTGTGTAATGGAAGTCTAGCTCCTGGTACTCTGAATCCTACTGATTCATGGAAATGCCTAGGTAAAGATTTCAGGCTTAGGATCTACATGTCTAAATCTAAAAAGCTACAGTTACAGTTATCTTAATGGCTATTTGATGATCTAAGGGCTGCTCTCTGGGCTGAACTGTAGCCTAGAACACCTTAAGTCTTCCCAAAAGGTACAGCATAGTCAACCGTCTTTCTCCTGGCTCAGTCGTTGGCGTGCCAATTTTATTTTATTTTTATATGCTTGCTGCAGCTGTAATAAACATATAATTAGTTTGTGGGTTTAGATTATATTTGTAAACATTCTGTCAACATGTAAGCAAGTGGAAAAGGTCTTTACTAGTTTAATACTTAGAAATTATAGAGAAGATTCTATTCTGTATTTGATTTCCTTTGTGCTTTAATTGCATACACTTGTTTCTATTATGTGTTTGCTCTAGTTGCACAAATCCCTCATGAGTTTTGTTGTCTTCCTTTCTAGGTTTTCTTGCAATTGTAATGCCATTTATTTGCATCCTACAGTTAGATGATTTGGTAGAACGCTTTAAGCTGCGTATATACTGCCTAATTATTCATGCCAAGGAAAGATCAGACCTAATGTAATATGAAACAGACACTAAGATAACACTGATAGCCAGGTGAGACCAAAGAATCTTCCCTATTGAAATGCATCTCCTTTGGGCATAGTGCTGTCTCATTGCAAGCTTCAGATCTCTGTTACTTGTGTTTAAGCACTTGGAAGAAAATCTCTGCATTTCATGCATTTACTACACAATATCCTTTCTATTTCTTTGATTCTGAACTCCAAGTTTTTTATTTTGGTGGGTGGTGAGACTTATATGATGGTTACACACATAAATGACAGCGTTTAGTTCCAGCAGTTTTGTACGAAACCTGCTATTATTCCCTTGAACTATTTTGAAAACTCTGTATGGAAGTGATCAATGTTCTCCTGAAGAGAAGAATGTTGTTCAACTGACGTTCCAGTTTCTGACCTACTGTGTACATGTTTAAAAACCTCCTTTTGAATAACTTGACCCATGTGGGGTCCTGATATTTTGTCCCCAGAGAAAGCTATGAAATCTTACACATCCCTGCCCTGAAATGCAAGATACAAGTAACTCCTTCTCCACAGGCTGAGATGTGTAGCAATTGTGGCAATTTGTACATCACATTCT